TCGGACTCGACATTCTCCTTTGTTGGAGCGCTGGCTGGACCGCCTTGTGAGTTTGGTAGAACCTGGGGCCGATGCAACGCTGACAACGTGGTGAAGAAGACCATGTGTAGTAGAGACCTTGCAAGATCGATGGCTGCTTCGCCGCTGGGTGTGTCCGTGTACTTGGCTTCTTCTGGAAGCTCCGAAACCCATTTTTGGAGCTCTTCATCACAGGCCTTGACCTCACTAGTCTCGGGATCTAGTTTCTTCGGTAGCAACATCATGGTTGTACGGTCATTTTGCAGGCCGTGGTTGTTGTTCAATACGCAGTATTGCTTAGAAAGCACATGGGATATGCACAGACACAGCCTAGCCTTCTCAATGCACATGATAGCTAGTTGTCGCTGCGCATCCACATCCCTCGCAATACGGCAGTCAGCTGGCAGGCAAGTGATCGAATCCGGGAGAGGTGCAATCTCAAAGTCATCCAACGTCAGCATGGGCACGTCGAAGTCCTCGGTCTTTATCCTTGTAGGGCGTCGCATGCCAAGTGCAATAAGTCGGTCGCGCATGTAGGTTGACCACCATATCCGCTTCCACAACTTCACGCGCTTGCTGTCCAGGTTGGTGTTGTCCGGATTGCGATGTAATCCGATGGTGTGAGCAACCGATGTAGCGACGCCCATCCAGTGCCAGGTGTCTTTCTGGTCATCGGGAGTTTCGTAATAATACGTCAGCAACAACAGTGCTTGGACTAGTGAAACGCGATCGGACTCATAATCAAAGTCGTACAAGATCTGGTGGCAGAGTTAGCACGGTGTTCACATGTTATCGGCCCATTGTAGGTCCGTCGATTTTCACATGTCGGCATGTCCTCGGAAAATCGGTGTGTCCGAATCACCCCGATAGTGTTTGGGTCTAGTCGGCCAAAGCCCATGACTTGCCAAGGCATCCGAAGAAGGGTCTCAACTTACTCTAGTCTTCTGGAAGAAGTCTTTGCGCGCGTCCTTCCGAGTAGCGTAGCCCGCTGTGCGCAAGTGTTCCATATCAACAAACGCCGATCCGGCGAACATGACGGCCTGGAACAGGATCAAGCTGACTTTTCCTTTGCTTCCGTCTCGTTTGTCAACCATCGACAAGAAATCATGCAGATCCAGAAGTGGCATATAGGGATGGACAAATTCGACGTATGCGCGAAGCATTTCACCGCGAAGATTTCCCTTTGGTACGGTCAAGGCACCTTTCTTCTCCAGATAGGCGATCTCGTCAGGTCCGATTTTCGCCGGGAGAGGTTTGATGAATCGGGGTAGCTCTCCAGGGGCGGGTTTCTGTGGTATGCTTCCAAAGAAGGGTGCTCGTGGTTCATTGGAAAACGGCGAAAATGGTAGTGTGGGCAAGCCATTAATTTGTGACGTGATGGAAAGTCGGCGCTGGATATCTGAGATACTGGTGACGGAGTTGATACGATGGCCATGACTTTGGTCTGTGTTGAGATTAGCCCAGTACGACTGATGCCGTGATGCAGTAATCATACATATTGAGTGAGGCACGTGCTCATCTCGCCTTGATTCCGCCTCATGTGATCCTCGCGACGAGCTTCGGTTCAAGGTTTGCGCACCGTCCAGCGCGTCACGCGATGCGATTTTGCGCGTCGCAGGTGCAGTCGCGCTTGCGTTTTCTGTGGCTTGGTCGTCATCTTTGCTCCATTTCCTGCAGCTGTCAGTAGTCGTACGAGGCGCACATTTGGTGTGGGTGCATCAACAGCCATTGGCTGAAATGCTCTCGGTGATTGTGATAGGTGCAGCGCAGCACAAGTGGCTAGGCCAGAAATACCGAGCTCCCAGCCGACGTTGGATGACGAAATCGATGGAACATGCCATATCGAAATTGTTGATCAAACGATAAAGCGTTTTGTTTGTGGAGACGTCGGATATTGCACGGGAATGTGGAACTAACTTTTTGCGCCTGCTCTCCGACACAATGCACTCGACTTCGTCCAGTCTGCAGTTTGTGCAAGGAGCGCCATGCTCCGTGACATTGCATCGCACTTTGCGAGCTCGACAACACTGACACGCTTTTGAAGCCCTCCTCTTTACTGAACGCCCGGTTCCATGTCCATCGAGGCCGGCCGCGGTGGCTTTTCGTTTCGGTGCTTGGATTTCGTTGTGATGGTCGGACGGAGATGCAGAGTAATCAGACATGGCTACGAGATGTGGATGTCTGGAGTCTGCGTTGAAGGCACGATGGGTTGCAAATAGCGTTGACAATTCCTACCACACGCGAGGGGCCTGGGGGGGTCCGAAGATTATAAAGACCACAATTCGCGAGAGTGGATTGCATGCCAGGGCTAGTCGTGTGCTAGGACACACAGACAAGCCGCGCTTCACATGGTGCGTTTTAACGCTCATGACGCCGCCTCCGTCCCCACTGGGGATCGTTAGTTAGTACCCCAGTCCCCCAGATGCGGCTGGTCGGCGCTTTATCCTTGGCGACTAAGACGCCGATGCCTTTCGGATGTCATCGGGACAAAGCCCGCTCCTGGATACAAACGCGTATCCGCAACGTCAGCTGCTTGACCAGTCCTTGTGCACGGGTAAGTTGCCGCGGTTCTTGCATTCGCTCAAGCCGACGATGGCCTGTACAACTGGCAGCCTGTGAATGCCAAGAGCACGCTCCCTCCGACTACTACGGACGTATGGCACGCGAGTACCAGGTGTCTTTGACACCCAAGCTCGAGTCATGATTGTTGTGGGGTGCACGGCACTTTCGATTCACGTTGCGTCCCACAAACGCAAGGACAAGCCAGGCGTAGGATCATCGCTGTAGAGTGCGGAAATGAATATCCCAGGGACGGCGCGATTGGTGTCTATGAGCGGAATGCCATGACCAAGCCAGACAGCTCTGGATCCTATAGCCGAAGTGCTAGCCGTCTCGGGTGCACGTGAGGACACATAGGCGTCCAAGTATGTTTGCGGCTTTTTGCCAATCGTACGGACAGGTCCATTGCCCCGACGCACTGCCCCAGTACACCCCAATAAAATCTGCATCGTGAACCTTAGTGGGCACGGTGCTTGCCGTCTTTTTTTGATCTGCTGAGAGCTGGCTGACCGCTCTAACAACAAACACAGCGCTCGGTGCACGGGAAAACATTGCGATGGATGACGTGAAGGCAAACTCTGAGAGGCTGCGCATCATGCAGTCGGCGCTCGGAGCAAAGGCTCTTCCAGCTGCATGGTCAGTGGTTGCGGTAAAGGTGTCAAAAATGGCACGCGTAGCGAACGACTGGAGGTTGATCTCTGGGCGTGCCAAAATTGCGGGGAACACGCCCTTTCCCCTCTCGGTGAAGTCTCGGACGACGCCATGCTGTTGCATGAGGCAGAGAACGCAACCACCAATCTGCAGTGATGCACACGTTCCATCCTTCCAGATTGCCCCTAGATGCTCGGCACCCTCATGCACCTCCCGCTCAATTTTTTCTCTGCATCGCGATCGTGATCGAGCGTCCGCGGCCGCAGCCCGAGCCTACCCGTCGGTACCTGTGACTTTCCCGGTCACTCAAACATCTGGGGCATTACACCCATCATCCTTACTACTACATTGGAAAGAAGCGAAGACCAGGTCAAGCCTTGATGCGCACGTCTAATGACACCATTTTAGCGGTCCCACGCGACATGATCTGCAGGGAAAGTAACTGTCGCACGACATGGTCTGGTTCATGAGCGTTCTCCGATGGCTGAGGCTCAATGTCTCTGCATGTACCAACCGTGTCATCACTGGAGAGTCAGATCTCACTGCCCCCTCCAGCTCCTTTGTTCGATGCGGGGCTTACCGCCACATCAGCATCTTTGGGAAAGGCATGCGTTGCAGGCATGATTAATATTCACTATCCAATCCTCGTGCGAGCTTTCGGCCGTTGGGACGGAATCAATTTCCGCTCAGGTCATCGGAAAAAGGCATTCAAATAAAGCCAACGAGGCTATGTCATGTCGGGCGACTAAAGATGCAGGACTGTCACTGTACGGAACCACTAAGTTTTGAGCTCCACTTTGAGAATCTGGAGTGAAGATCCCAAGGTCGGCGCATCATCGGTGCGGTAACTAGTAAGTAACCTGGCTGGTTCACGCTTCAGCTAGAAGTAGCGTGGATGGTCTCATCTGACAAAAGAATACAAGCTGGAAACACAAGGTGGTCTGAATTTGGCAAGAAACCCACAAGATGTATCTCGGTTGTATGTGTCTTCCATCTCAGTATCACATGGCAGACATGACCAAATCTCATCCAATGCGATCCAATCACGACTCCTCTGACCCACCACCATAGATGAGCTCACATTTCTGCTCAGCATCAGCAAGTGCACAAACGAAAAACAACCAAGGCAATGGAACGGTTAAGTAGTCACTTACAAGGTCGCTCGTACAAGTACCATGTTCTCCTCTCACTGGGTAACATCGATCCAACGTTGCCTGTTTACATTCGCATTCCTGTCAGGCCGTCAGCAAAGAACAATTACACTTCATCGGCACAACATTGTACATACAGCCTTCAATTCCAGCGGGCAGATCGGTGGCGGTCCACATGAACAAATAGGTAGAGTAGGTGGGGCTGGCGCTGGCGCTGCTAGGGAGACGGCCGCTAAGAGCACGGAGACGATGATGGCGGACTTCATTCTGGAGAAGCAGGCAACGTCAATGTCAAAGTAGCTTCAATGAATAAGTGTAGAGTTGAAATGGTTTATGGCACGATATATTTATATGTCAACCAGCTCTACTCGGGGCTTCACCATCTGACGTGATACCGTGTCAAGTCAAGAAAAGGCATATGAGACATTCAGCTCTCGCTGAGGAAAGCCCGAGTTACCGTTGCGAATAAGAGACCATATCTGGGTCTTGGACTGCGGCATAGAACTCAAATAGGAAAATGTGTTTAGCCAAGGGTATCGTGTAATGATCTTGGAACACCTGATGCTCGCAAATGAGATTGCATGACCGTCTAAGTCTAGATGCTGCTGATGTTTACCACATCTAAAGCTTCGATGATCCCTTCGGCCTCTCCATCGCCTTAGTCTTACTCTTGAAATTTTTGACGAGCTGTCTCACACCCAAGTCCAGCATGACGTCTTCCGCACCACCTGGTATCCTTATACCTGGAACCTCGCGGTATATCCCTAAGAACATGTTAGTTACTGCCTGTAATTCCGATACTCGCAATACTCACTCTCAATCAACTCTCCCTGTCCACTCTTCGTGTATCCATTTCCGCCAAATAGCAATTGCGCCGTTTGAGCGCATTCGTTCAGCACGATGCCGCTTTGTGCCTTGACCATGGCGGTCAGGCCACCCAATTCGATGTCTGCTGACGCCTTTGGTAGGTGTACCATTTGGTATACGAATTGCTCGACCCAAGCCCATTGTGACTCTAGCAGCGCACCGGCTTTTGCCAGACGGTGGCGTACGACGGGTTGTTCGACGAGTGGTTTGCCGAAAGCCTCGCGCTTGAGGACGTATTCCATTGCGGCGGAGAGGGCGACACGCGCTTGACGGGTTGCGCCGATCGCAATGCTGAGCCGTTCGTGGTTGAAGTTGGTCATGCTGTGAATTTTCCCGTTAGCTAGAGTACTTCTTGAGACTTTCGTTATCTTACATGTACTTCATGCCCATACCCTCTTCTCCAATGAGATTCTCAACCGGCACTTTGACATCGTCAAGTTCTATGAAGGTCGTTCCTGCACTGACTTGACCGCCAACCTTCAGTCTGCGCATGTTTACTCCTGGGTTTCCTAACAAAGGCACGACCAACATGGACAGACCTGTGGGTCCAGGGCCACCGGTCCTAACAGCCATCGAAGAGTAACTTGACCAAATTCCGTTTGTGATCCACTTCTTGGTTCCGTTGACGATGTAGTGCTTTCCGTCGGGTGTCTTTGTAGCGGTCGTTGTGATGTTTGCGACGTCTGATCCGGCTTCGGGTTCGGTAATGGCAATGCAAGTTCGCTTCTTGCCGGTAAGGAGTTCGGGGAGGTAGCGCTCTTGGAGCTGCCTGCTGCCGTATTTGATAATGGGCGGTACACCGAAGGACATTCCTGTGGTAAGAGACCCAGCCGGTCCTGCAAGGCCGGTTCGCGCCATCTGGTACGGCTGTTAGTTGCGCTCAAACTGGGTGTTGGGAAATCCTACCTCATCGGCGTAGATCATGGTATGAATATAATCCCATTCCTCGACCTTGACGACACCCAGGATGTCATGAATTCCGAGCTTCTTCAGCCATTCCACTGGCAACGGGGCAGGTAGTGTCGGTAGCAGCATGCCTGCTTTCGCGAACGTCTCAAAGACATGCTCAGGCACAGTCTCCTCCGTATCCCATGCCAGAGAATTCTCCAGGAGATGCTCGTCCACGAATTTGCGACACGCTTTCTGCCATCTCAGATGCGTCTCCTTGTAGTATGGAGATGGTAGGCCGACGATGTAGGGCGGTTCGGAGAACGGGACGAAAGCTGTGGAAGACATTGCGATGTTGTCGAGGCGAGCCGAAGGTAGAGTAGAAGATGCGAGCGACGGGGCTCTGCTGCGTGTAGACTACATGATGGTGTTGCGCTCGGTATATGGAGAGGAGAAGTGGAGTCCGGGGTAGCTTCAGGCCAGCCGAGGTTCGCCAGGATTACACGCTTCTGACATGTCATGAACCGACGACTACCAGATCGAGGCGCAAGCCACGCTCCTTGGCCCGAGAAATCTAGACAGTTTCAATTAACGCTAAAGGGACAAATGGAAAGACTATGTCGGTCTGCGCTTACATACGAACTTCGGTCCCGAGGGCTTGGACATTGGTGTTGCGCGCTGTTTGGCATGTAGTCCGAATCAGGCAAGTTGCCAAAAGCCGTCGATTGCGGGCGTCTGGAGAGTTACCACAGGTCATCTGCACAACGATTGTCACTGCACGTATGTAGGCACGCATGAATGCCTCCAGAGTACAGATCTCGGATGCTGCGACCTCTGTCAAACAAGCACGGAAACTTTGTTATGTCAAGCCAGCAGGCATCGTGTACAACATAGAATTCGTTCCCAATTAATGCCATAATCCACTCCAGTATGCATTTGCAGTGTCGACTCGACTACCAAATTCCGGATTGGGATACCAGTCAAATATAGTCTGGAGTATGCAGATTGGCAACGACTGCAATCACTTCGTACAGCATGAGCATCGACTGTTGGATATTAATACTTTTCATCGTCGTCAAAGCAGACCATTGCCGCTGATATCAGAACGCACATCAAACATATGGTAGTTCAAGATCATAGAGACTGGTAGTATTCTGGCTATTTTTTTTAACGCACTCTACGAGGTGATTATGGTACATACTCTCAAGCTAAGGGTGTAATGGTAACGTAGCCGAGTAATCGAATGAATGTCAGAAACAAGGTACCGTAACTTACTCACATGTAGTTCCAGTTGTTGACTGGCTGGGGACGGTGAAGAGTCGTCTGTATCCTACGAGACGGGTGTATCAGCGAGAACTTCTAATCCTCCTCAATTTCACCTTCCTCGCTTCCACTGCGGAGGGCGCGGTCTTCTTCTTCCTTCTTAATCGTGCTGGCTGCCTCAGGAACAGGCGTCTTGGACTTGCGGTCAGGGCGTGGAGAGTAGCGAGCACGCTGTGACGAGGTTAGTGTCGTGTTCTCAATATATATGGGGCGTAATTTTGCGGACCTTTGTCTCACGATCGCGTTTGGAAGAGCTCTCGTCGCTTTCCCGACGGCGTCGAGCAGACGACGTGCGACCACCGCTGTCACCGTAGTCTAGCAGACTAACCGTGGCCTCACGAGGGTCGGCCCTGCTGACATAGGATCGCTCACGCTCGGCTTCACGCTCGCGGCGCTCACGTACGTAGTGATCACCGCCAGGGCTGCGACGAGAACGCTCGTAACGATCGTCGTCTCGGCGCTCACGGCGCGGGGGAGGAGACAAGCCTGTACTGTCGTTGTTCCTGTAGCGCGCCTCCCTGTCCTGCACCGCACGACGGCGCTCTGCAGCATACGGGTCATGTTCAGGTGAGCGAGTTCGTGTACGATGACGACGATGAGAGTCAGAATGACCATTGCGATACTCACGATCTCGGTCACGCCTGTCCCTACTACGATCACGGCCATCGCGCCTGCTCCGGTCTCTGCGATCGCTCTCCTTCTCCTTCAGGCGGGACATGAACTTGTCGAAAGCCGATTCGCGGAGGGTATCTGATTTCAGTGCGCGATACTCGTCTGTCTTTTCAACGCGGGGACGTACCACTTCCCAGGTGTCTGACAGCGACACCGGTGGGTCAAGATGCTTGATGACTGAGCGAAGCTTGTCCACAGTAGAGCGCTCGTTGTACTCTTCGTCTTGGCGGTCTTGTTCCTCGCGCTTCTTGACCTTCGCAAGGACGTAGTTGTATATGCTATGCATGGACTGTTCGTCAATATCAGCGGTGCGAGGATCTTTTCGCATAACGTTAAGGAAGTCTTCCACAGGGGTCGACGTGGTAACCTCGAAGCGTTGTTGCTAGTAGCACAGTTAGTCCAGTTTTAGTGGGGAGTTGGGGTTCAACATACCTCCAGTACATCAAGCGCCCTTCGGCGCAGGGTGCGGAACTTGCCCTCTTCCTCCTCCAGAGCATCACGGAATAGATCGAGTGGCGAGGATCCGCCCTGCCCAAGCATGGCTGTGTAGCGCGGTTCGTTCTCGATGTGACTGTGAATGTCCTTCCACTTGGTACCAGCGCGAAGCAAACCGTCCCTCCTAAGCTCGTCTAGAAGCTCGAGGAATGCATCACGGTTCTTGCGCTCGACGCGGTGCTTCTTGCGTCGCTCAGCTTGGACTTTGTCGTTGTGTTCGCGCTGGAGCTGCCTGATGTGCTTTTCGAATTGGTTCAAGACATCCATTCGAGTCAGAGTTTCGAACTTCTCGCTGTTGAACTCGTTGTTCTGCTCCAACTTTTCTTCAGCTGCCTGCCAACGCGTGAACGGCTCCAGGTCCAAGCCCTTCAGCAAGCCCATGACCTCATCGATTGCAGAGCGCCTGCTCTCTGCCTCTTCCTCTTCGTGCGCCTTCTTCAAAGAGATGATGTATTCTTCGAACAGAGTCCTTCTCTCGTTGTCGTCCTTGGCTGAGCGGAAGATGGTTTCCTCTTCGATGATGGGCAGAGCAGTCTTCCAGCGTGTGTAGTACTTGATCTCGGGGTGCGAGCGCAGCATGGCGGTGAAGTCGGATCGTAGCTTGGCCTGGCGATCCTGCTCCTTGTGCTTCTCCTGGGCGCGCAAGTCTTCGCAGTACTTCTTGAAGGCCTCCTCGCGCTTCTCCGGCTCGGGAATGGCGCGCCAGTTGGGATCGTGGATACCGGCGCGGACGGCCTGCTGCCAGGTCCAGTCGGGCTGCACCTTCATCTGCCTGAGCACCTTCATGAAAGCAGCCTCGGCTTCCTGCGGAGTAGAAAACTGCAGCTCGGTGCCGGTCGTGAAGCTGATGTTGGGGCGGTCGCCGCCAAAGCCAGATTCACGGTCGCGCTCGCGATCACGGTCACGGTCATCGCGGCGGTCGTGTCGGTCAGGGCGGTACTCGTCGCGTTCGGGGCGTCTGTTGTCGTACGAAGGCGCGCTCGAGGCTGGTCCTGTTGGCCATCCCGCGGGACCGGCAGGGGGCGGGCGCTGATTCTGCAAGCTCTGCCTGTACTCGTCGATCTTCTTCTGGACCACCTCGGGAATCTCCCACGTAGTCTCGCTCGTGCCAGTCTTTGCGTAGTATCGCCTGCCGCCTGCTACGTGCGCAGTCCAGCCGGTGCCGGGAATTGCGCGCTTCTTAGCGTCAGTATTGTCTCGCTGTCGAATGATCATGAGATCAAGTACCTCTACATCGTCCTTGAGCTCGTCGGGCTTTTCCCACGTGGTTTGGTTGGTGGCTTTGTTGAAGTAGTACTCCTTGCCATCGGCTGCTGTCGCGACTGACCATACAGAAGCTTGAGCCATTGGCGGCGCGTAGGGTGGGCCGTTCATTGCGCCGGTTGTGGATGGTTGCGCGTGGGGATGGGTAAAGTCAGAACGCCTGTCTGCAAAGAAGTTGTGGAACTTACTGGCGCACGGACGGTTTGGGTAGCGCGAAAGCAGGACCCCTAGTTCAGGCACCACATTCACGTGTTCCTTCACATCTACCTTCACCTCGATTGTCCTGTGGAAATCATGGCAGACGATGAGGTGATACCACGCAGGAGCCTCGAGTTTGCCGAGAGCTCAGTGCTGGAAGCTGTGGTGCCTGCGAGTTCCGACATCGACATCAAGAGCGAGATCGACTCTTGGGATGGTGCAGCAGACGACAATGGTTCCATATTGCCGTTCCTAGCACAACGAAATGTGCTACTTCTCGGTACGTCTCCAACAATTCCCTACAATCAGCACCTCTCTTACTCATGCACAGGCCTTTAGATGAACTTTTAGCCGTATATGTTGTTTTCCAAACACCGCTGTTAGACGAAGCGACCTTGAAGTCGTACCTTGCAAGACTGGTGATCAACGTAGAGGCCTTCGCATTCAGTACGGTTCCCCCATCTGATCAAGATCCAAAATCTACGCCTCCCAAAGAAGTCATCTTCTCAGGTACCATCAATCACACAGATGAACCTACGGTTGTCAACCATGGTGAAGGGGACAGTGCTCATACCTATGTTATCTGGAAGGTGGATGTTTTCATAGGTGAGACAATCAGCCAATCTCTCATAGATCGTATCTAATCAACAGCAGCTCGCCCACAAGGCAGATTTCATAAGCCTGCAGTGTACTTCCAACCCACGGCCTCCTTCAAGCCAGAAGAAAAGCCTCAAAAAGACGCGTCAGAGGATGACTATCTCCCAAGTGGCGTACCCACACCCTTAAACCTGCTGCAGTCATTCGAGAATGATCCCGCTCTTGTCGGTGTCCATCCACGACTCTCAGCAATGCGTATCAGCAAGGTCACTCCAACTGCCCCTGCTGCAAAGGAAATGGCTCGACCGATTCGAAACGGACAAAGACCACTATTTCGTGTGCTGCCGCCTTTGATATGGAGGATACGTTATTCGAGGATTCAAGCATCAATAAGCGACCTGTCTTTAATGGCCTCTCTAGATCTGGAAGTCGCTCAATTCGCTACCTACGACGTCAGAATCAAAAAGGTCAGCCTGGCTTTGCATGGAGGCAAGGTTCAAGAGTTGAACGAAGAGCTGGATACCACGACGAGCCACAAACCTGGTGATCAGCTAACGTTTCTGTACAAGATCCGGCCTGATATTGGTACCGATGGAACACCAGCACTCGGGAGCAAGGGTCATTACTTAACGTTGAATGTTGAGGCAAATGTCACAATGTCCGATCATTGCCACCCAGACATTGCTATCGAGTGGAAGACACCCGTTGACTTTCCGTCAGAACAGGCGCTCAACTTGGCCAGGGCTAGTCGGCCGAGTAGCTCTACAACACAGAGCGCGAACGCAGCCAATCCCGACGCCCTTGTCACTCAAGATGCCCAAGATCAACCCGAACAGGATGCTTCCCACAACGACGTCAATGTCACCCTGACAGTGTCTGGGCCGCCTAGTGTCAAGGTTGGCGAGATCTTCACGTGGGATGTGTTTATAGTCAACCGATCGGACAAAACGCGAAGGCTGGCAGTTCTGGTCATCGCGAAAAGACCGAGAGACTCGGGGAAGCACAAGTCACATCCATCCGTCTCTTCTGTAGGCGGTCCTCGAGCGGACAAGAAAGAGTTGTTTGGAACGGCGGTCGTTGACGAAAATGTCGTGTACGCTAAGCAAAAGAGTGCGAGGACCGATACAGCGGACTTGATCTGCTTGACAACCGACATACGGCTCGGGTAAGTCGGATTAAGCAGAAGGGTCATAGAACGAATGGCTAACATGATCAGGCAACTCTCACCCGGCTCCTGCTACACGGCCGACCTCAAGTTTCTTGCGCTTTCAGCAGGAGTATTGTTCGTGGAATCGATACGAGTCGTTGATCTGGTCAGCAACGAAGCTGTCGATATTCATGATTTACCAAGTATTGTTGCTGTAGCCTCGTGAGCTCGCAACACTTCCTATAGCTTAGACTATCTTCAGTCAATGAAGCGTGCGATGCAGATAGTGTGTCACCCTTTTATGTTGCGCCGTTACTTGTAGTAGACCATGGACGGGGTCGTGTTTGTGACGCCGAGACACACTGTGGAGCTCAGCAGGCGCTCAGCAGAGTGGAGCACAGATGCCACCACCGGATTCGGTCCAAGAGAAAGTGCTAGACATCCGGGCTCCCAACTTTACGTCTTGGACATAGCTCGATAGTACGAGCCATAGGCGCGCGGAACTAGGCTGATGCCAGCCGTCGCTTGATGTCTGAAACTCGTCATTGGTCCCGGCGTGAAACTCTCGCCACTGTTGCAGCACCTCCGCACTGAACCCTGGGCTGCGGCTGCGCATCGCATGCCTCTGCTACACTTCCTACCACAAACCGCTCTTAATCACGATAGTATTGTCGCCTGCCCTATTTCCTTATCGCGCTTTTGAGCCGCAACAGATAGGACCACTTATAGCCGCACACGGGCCTGCGGCTACGTTTCATCAACGTCATCGCGATCTTCGAGCAACGCTACACCTAGAGCTTTTCACAGGACCCATACTAAACATGAACAGCACCAGACACAGACTGCTTTACCAGCTAAACAGCCGCTGGATATACGGGAAGATTGTGAGCCACCCGTCCTGATACTGTTTGATGGTCGACTAATTATTTCCAGCCGCTGCTGCATTCGATAGTATTCCTGCTCCAAATGGCGGCCGTCAGCATGCTCACGCGCAAGTACAACCAGTACTATGCGGCGCGTCCAGTACTCACCACCATGATCACCAACGCCGTACGTTTTCCATAGCTATAAGCACCATGCGCATCGAGTGGCATGTCGCGCGACCGCCACACCGACTATTGCGACCTCTGCGCCGACGCCGACATATCTCAGACATGACGAAATAGGGAGGCTAACACCATGTGCAGGTGTTGGGTGGTATCGCGGACACAGTAGCCCAGACGCTCACCGCCGTGCGGGAGCGCGCAGTACGCAAGAAGGGCGGCCCAGGCAAGGACGACTTCCTGGCGATTGAAATCCACGAGCTCGACAGACGGAACCCGTTCAACGAGAACGACCTCATCCCCGACTCGAAGATACTCCCCCCGCCTTTCGATTTCGAGCGAACCACAAGATTCATGTCCTACGGTTTCCTCATGTCGCCAATCCAGCACAGGTGGTTCGGCTTCCTGTCCAGGACTTTCCCTGTTTCAAAGACTGCGACATGGTTGCCAGCCCTCAAGCGCGTGGCTTTTGATCAGTTCCTGTTCGCCCCAGCTGGTCTGGCTGCCTTCTTCACTTTCATGACTGTTGCCGAGGGTGGCGGCAAGCGTGCTGTGCAGCGCAAGTTCCAGGACGTATACGTGCCTGCGCTCAAGGCCAATTACATGGTCTGGCCGGCTGTGCAGCTCATCAACTTCCGAGTCATGCCCATCCAATTCCAGATTGTAAGTATTCTGCTCCAGTTTACGATGCTAGCGACTGACGTGTGCCAGCCATTTGTATCTACCGTGGGTATTGCTTGGACAGCTTACCTCTCTTTGACGAACTCGGCCGACGAAGCCTAAGCCTATCCAGTTATGCGAACGAATTCCCATGTTTAAATATCATACGTACACATAAGGTCTGGTCACGGTGGCATCGGGTGATTCCCCTTGAGCGTCTCGCGCGTTAGCATGTTTGGTTGGGCATTTGCACGGCGTCAGGTTAGTTGACTTTGATACGGTCGATGTGTTATGTACAGTCTTGAATTTGATACAGAATGAAACTATCATCATGCACAAATGTTGTTTACCTTGCGTATATGCTTGGATTGTGTTTTACCAAGTCTCTTCATGTGGAGAGATCATGTAAAACGCGTTGCAACGATACCCCCAACACCACTGAGTACTCTCGGCCGCGGGGGATGTCGACCTTGGCTGCCCACTTTGGCACGCCCCAAGACGCGCGGACAGCAAAATGTGTTTTACATCAGCTAATTTCTCTAGTCCGGTCACGTCAACTTGCTTTTTTGTGGTTCGATAAGGAGCGCGAAGCTTTGCATGCAGGAGAACCCGTGGATTGCCCCGCTACACCCCACCAAGCCTGCCCATGACGATCTGAAGCTCGACAACAAACATTGAACACCTCCCGCGCTTCTTCCTTTCTCCAACTCATTGACGTAAGTGGACCTTTACCTGAGGTATATAGCTGGCAGTTGTACACTTCGATTGACACATCTAAGACTTCATTAAACTCACACCATCACAGTACTACTATACACCCACCATGTCTCTCTCTAACAAGCTGTCAATCGCCGACGTCGACCTCAAGGGCAAGCGCGTCCTCATCCGAGTGAGTATATTCAGAACTTTGGTATGAAGTACAAATTCAATTCTAATCGCGACACACCAGGTCGACTTCAACGTCCCTCTCGACTCCGACAAGAACATCACCAACAACCAGCGCATAGTCGGCGCTCTTCCCACAATCAAGCACGCTGTCGACAATGGCGCCAAGGCCGTCATCCTCATGTCGCATCTCGGCCGCCCAGACGGAAAGCCAAACGCAAAGTACAGTCTCAAGCCGGTTGTTCCCGAACTCGAGAAGCTACTCGGCAAGAGCGTAACCTTCACAGACGACTGCGTCGGCAAGTCGGTCGAGGACACCGTTAACGGCGCTAGCGGCGGCCAGGTCATCCTACTGGAGAACCTGCGCTTCCACGCCGAGGAGGAGGGCAGCTACAAGGATGACGAGGGCAAGAAGCAGAAGGTTGACAAGAGCAAGGTTGAGGAGTTCAGGAAGGGCTTGACTGCTCTTGGTGACATTTACATCAGTGAGTGTCCTCGGCGATTTATACAAGTAGCATACTAACGGATTACAGACGATGCCTTTGGCACTGCCCACCGCGCACACAGCTCCATGGTCGGCGTCGACCTCCCACAAAAGGCATCTGGCTTCCTCGTCAAGAAGGAGCTCGACTACTTTGCGCAAGCGCTCGAGGAGCCCAAGCGCCCCTTCCTCGCCATCCTCGGTGGTGCCAAGGTCTCCGACAAGATCCAGCTGATCGACAACCTGCTCGGCAAGGTCAACAGCCTCATCATCTGCGGAGGCATGTCATTCACCTTTAAGAAGACGCTCGAGGGTGTGAAGATCGGCGACAGCTTGTTCGACGAGGCCGGCAGCAAGACTGTCAAGGACCTTGTCGAGAAGGCGAAGAAGAACAACGTCAAGATTGTCTTGCCCGTTGACTACATCACTGCCGACAAGTTCGACAAGGATGCCAACACTGGCTACGCTGAGGACAAGGACGGTATTCCAGATGGCTGGATGGGTCTCGACTGTGGTGACAAGTCGATCAAGCTGTACAAGGAGGCCATTGGCGAGGCGCAGACCATCCTCTGGAACGGTCCCGCCGGTGTATTCGAGTTTGAGAAGTTCGCCAAGGGCACAAAGGCGACACTCGATGCTGCCGTTGATGCTGCGCAAAGCGGCAAGATTGTCATCATCGGTGGTGGTGACACAGCCACTGTTGCCGCCAAGTACGGCGTAGAAGACAAGCTGTCCCACGTCTCGACTGGTGGTGGTGCGTCGCTCGAGCTGCTCGAGGGCAAGGACCTGCCCGGTGTATCCGCCCTGTCAAGTAAGTAAACCAGTCACTCATAGAAGTGAACGGCAGCTCAAGATGAGGGAAGGTATATCTTCGAAGTTATGATTGTAGCTATAGCTCTTTTCGGTTCAATAAAGATACCGCATTCCACCGCATGGCCTATGGACGTGATGCGTGGAGTCTTTGGGCTCACTTTTGCAACCATGTATGTGTCTCGAGCTAGCCATATCCTCATTCGTTTGAAGGGTCGTCATGTTTTCCGTTCGAATCGCGTATGTTCGTGTCGACTATAGGTATCGCTCATTTGCCCAGCTTCTTAAGCTCCTCCCTGGTTGTTGTTAGCACCTATAATACATTTCCAGTAGACAAGTGTCCTACCTCAGCTGAACCGCAAAGTCGTCATTCGTGTCATCATCGTCCCAGCTCTCTTCCCAGAGATGTGTGTTGCCGTTGGGGATCTGTGTCTCCTCCTCAGTCCAGTCTGTAGACACGTTAGCTTGATGCATCCCCCTTCAACCATTCCAACATACCCTCTACAGGGAAATCCTCAAACTCATCATCCTCCTCTAGCTGTGTCGCGGGCTTCTTCTCGGGCGCCAGTGGTTGCTCGCCGTTCTTTGAGTCGTTGACGACGGCCTTCTTCATATCGTTGCTGCCTTGTGCTGAGCCGGACATTATGGCGGTTTCGGGAGATGCGATCGGCGATGTGTTACGGTACGGTTGGGTGAGTCGAGTTGTGGTTACGCGGTGTTGTGGCTTTGGTGAGCTTTGGTGATGCGGCTCTAACAGCGGAGGAGCAGCGGCGGCGATTGTCCGCAAGGCTTAGCGCGACGTCACGTGGTGCACCTGGCAACTGGGTTCGCGGGGTACGAGTCCGTCGAGGTTGCTGCTTGGCTCCGAGAAAGTTCCATGTGATGCATGGTGGTGCTTTGCTGTCGCCGTTGCACCTCATTCACTCTTTTTAAGCCGGGCCTGGGGTGCATTGGAGGGCAAAGTACGGATAATGAACATGACGTACACGTACTTTAGCTCCGAGTAGCCGGACGAAGCTGTAAGCACCGCCCGTCTGGTGGGCTTTAGTAGGTGTCTAGACACGCGCTCAGTGTCTTAGCTGGCGTATCCGCTTTACGCTGAGATTTGGATATACTTACTACCTCTCTTCATTCGATCTTTCTCGTGTCTCTCTTTCTCGGCCTCTTCTGGTTAACCTTTTTTCGACCAGTCTCTCCGCGGCGCGGGATTATTTATCCAGCATGTTCAAAGTCGGCGGTTGGCTCAAGGGCCATACGCCTGGGCATTCGAAGAGCTTAGATTCCTTGAGCGAAATGGCACAGAGTAAGTTCAAAAGCATGCATAGGTCAGGCAGGTACTAATACAACACAGTTGAGGATGCCATGAGCGGTACGAACTCCACCCAATACAGTGGCGCAGACAAGTCTAATCACACGCGAGCACAGCCGTCACCTATATCATGGCCGATGATATCGAAAGCGCCGAAGCACACCTTAGCAAAGGATCCAGTCCATTCCACCAGGTACACACCTACCTTCCAGCCCTCGGGCCCATACTTCGGTTCTAGTCTTATATCGTGTAGCTCGGAGCGGGTGTGTGTGTCTTCATACGGGCGACGCTGGGTTTCGAGCCGGAAATCGTACGCGAAGGTCTGATCGCATATTCAACATGATGTCAAGGAGATGCAGTGACTGACATGGTCGACAGCTGCAAATGCCCTATCAGTGGCCGAAAACTCCGCTTACGAACACCAACGCCGTATTAGCAAGGATCCGAATGCGTATAAATCACCTATATACCCGCCAGGCACCGAGTATGCGGTATGTCAGGCAGAGGCACAGCTGATGAGTGCTGTTGTCGGCGTGCTCAACGAGAGCTTGACGGAGGCTATCAAGAGTTTCTACAAGTTGAGGAAAGCATATCTTGCGCTGGAGGGTGTTATGGAGAACGAGAAAAAGTTTCTGGCAGAGAGGAGTACGAGCAGCGTCAACTCGGTGGGATCACGCCCCTCTTCGAAGGGCTCGGTTCGATCAAATGTGGCAAGCAGTGCTCTGAAGAGCTCTCAGGGTCCTACGTCTACCGGACCGTCCGCTGCAGCGTCGACTTCGAATCCGAAGCAGACTACTACAGTGACTGGACCGGCTGCGAAGAAGGCCACAGATGACGACGATGACGATGTCGACTTCGTGGACGCTCCAGAAGATCACGCTGGCGGTGAAACGCCTGTGGAATATATGGGGCATCTCAACGTCGCCGCTGACAAAGGTGCTACTGTCGAGCTAGACAATGCTCAAAAGAAGGTGGATGTCGCAGCAAGCTCGGCACCAGGGCTTCCTACCACGAACGAGAACCCATCCAACTCGCTACCAGACGCTATCGAATACTTCGAGAAGCTTACCTTGAACGATGAGGGTGATGCTGATGCAGACATCGCGTCATTCAGCAACCACCCAGTCGATGTGTTCATCCTCTCCGGATCCAACTTTTGCTTCGGCATGCTGTTACTTATTCTTTCGTTCATCCCGCCGTCTTTTGCTGGATTACTGAAGATCGTTGGCTTCAAGGGTGATAGGGAGCGAGGAATGCGAATGCTGTGGCAAGCGACTAAATTCCACAACATTCACGGTGCCATGGCTGGAGTTGTGCTCATGGGATATATCAATGGCTTCACCAACTTCTGCGACATACTTCCTACAAAGGGCGAGGGAGCATACCCGAAGGAACGGTGTCTGGCTTTGCTCCGATACATGCGCGCAAGGTACCCCAAGAGTCATCTCTGGCTGCTTGAGGAGTCCAGGATGCTCGCCTCCGAGAAGAAGTTGGAAGAGGCTGTTCAGTTCATGCACGAAGTGGGCGAGTCGAAGCTAAAACAGCTTGAGGCGCTCACGTGGTTTGAACGCAGCTTGAACAACATGTACATGCACGATTACGAAGCTACCGCTTTCGCTTTCGAGAAGTGCATTGGCCTCAACAACTGGTCCCACGCGCTGTACTACCACATCATCGCCGCCTCATACGTCGAACTCTACCGAAAACACAAGACGACCGACCCAACAAAGGCAAAAGAATATGGAACTAAGGCAGAGGAGTACATGAAGAAAGTCATGCCCAACGTCGGAAAGAAGAAGTTCATGGCCCGCCAACTCCCCTTCGACATCTTCGTCGCTCGCAAGATCCAGAAATGGGAAGCACGCGCCAAAGAGTGGAACTGCGACATCGTCGACGCGGTCGGTGTCTCCCCACTCGAGGAAATGATCTACTTCTGGAACGGATACAAGCGCATGCGAGACGATCACCTCCAAGTCTCCCTCGCCAACCTGGCCTGGAGTGAATCACCAGCCAACCCACACTGGGACAAGGAGGGCGTAGACGAGAAATCCATTCTCCACGTTTTGCGCGCCGCTACCCTGCGTAACATGGACCAAACAGCTGAAGCCAAGGCCATCCTAGAGAAAGAGGTTTTGCCTGTTGATAAGTTGCTCATCACGGGTAACTTCAAAGATAACTGGACTGCGCCGTGTGCGCGCTACGAGATGGCCGCGAATATCTGGCGCGAGGCTGATGCGGATGGGCATCCGGAGAAGAATCCGCAGATACTGGTGCAGTGCAAGGATTGGTTGGATGAGGTTACGAAGATGGGTGGGTTTGATTTGGATGCTAGGTATGTGATTTTTTTATCGGTGTGTGTGGCATGTGGCTAACGTTTGGATAGGATTGGTATGAAGATTACGACGGGTAAGGAGACGCTGCGGAAGTTTGGGGTGCAGTGCTAGAGGGTGATGTTGTTGAGGAACCTTTCGGGTTTTGTAGGTATGGGGAGTACATATAGATGGTAGGGATGTAGAAAGATAGAACGGGATGGAAGGGCATGAATACACCATAGTTCATCCTCTTGTCTCCGACATGAGAGCAGTGTTGATAGATGCGCATGGCTAAGTATCACACTAAGCCTATTGTCGACTATCTATAAGCTGCTCTACGAGACGTTACTTAGTTCCTCATCTCGTCTCTATGGTAGAACAACTAGAAGTCGAGACTTGCCAGCAGCAGCAGCGGCATCTGGGTAACAGCAGAGATGCCCTAGAAAGAGGCGAATCGGCAGCTAGAAAACACGATACCTTGCTTACGTTCACGGTACATATCGCCTGAAAAGCTCATGTGCTCGACGTCTCCGCTGCCTCCAGTACTCTGGCATGAGAGTGCCCAGCAGCTCCCAGACCCATCTCACGTCAACCTTCCACCGCACCTCTCAAACCGATGTATGAGACCCTGCGTCACAACCTCCTCCTTTCGCTATGGTCGGTAACGGGCGCTGGGTGTATGGATATAGAAGCGTATCTCGGATGTTCAATCATGATCTCACACTAGACACGTTAGCAGAATCTCCTTTCATCCGCAGACGTACATACCATCAAGATAATCCGCTGCAATCAACAACTCTAAACAAAGCTCGGGCGGGATGTCCATATCCGACACGTCTTTGCTTTCCGCGTGCTTCTGGTTGTAGTAGAGGTACTCGCAGACCTTCTCTAGCACCACACCACTAGATACCACTATTAGCCTCTTCTCTTAGGATATTTAATCTGGTGGAGATGTAGCGGGACGGAGCGAGAATGGGAGGGAGTCATGGTTGGAGTAGACGTACTTGATCGTAGGCAAGTCAACGCGATTCTGTGCGTTTTCCCGGAAGCCAGCTATTGATGCGTTAGCCGGGTCATACGACATGTATCCGGGAAGAGCGACTCACAAAGTGGATCCAGTGCTTTCTTGATCGTGCCTGCTATGCATGCTGCTGAGCGGAGGATCTTGAACTCAAAGCCGTCGTTTGAGACGAGGGTGACGTATTCGGTGGATTTGTCGTCGGCCATTGTGATGCGCGGTATGGGATATAAGCCCGAGAGCTTCTGGATGTGGTCTGAAGACGGGGCGGTTGTATATAGGAGCGTCGAGTGGGAAGTTGTGTGAGAGACGGTGGATATCGCGGGGAAGTTGCGGAGGACAGCGCGCGCTGTCACGTTTTCTCGCGTGGGCGAACGTCGAGATGGGGGGTGGATGGCTTACATCACCCATCTACATTAGACTATACCGTCTTAATTTCTTGTGAAAGAGAGCCACTACGAAGACCAATTGAACAAAGATTCAAACCCAACGGCAATTCCCTCCCCACAGACGGATTGACCGCATTCCACAAACGCAAAGTGCCCAATTCATGACCATGGCGCACCGCCCACGACACGTCCTCATCACAGGCGGCAGCCGAGGCATCGGCCTCGCAATCGCACAACTCTTCGCCAAAAACGCATACCGCTGCACCCTAATCTCACGCTCAGAACCCGATCTGAAAACCGCCATAGCAAGCCTAACACCCCTCCCATCCACCTCATCACCAGATACACCTTCAAATCCCGAGACACATGACCCTGTAGAACCAGTATCATACCAACACGGCTACATCGCAGGCGACATATCCCTAGGTTCCAACTTCTGGCATCTACACCCCTCGCGCCCTTTCATCGCTCGTCTGCCCAAGCCAGAGCGCACGGCGTTCTCGACACATCCTTCGCGCATCGATGTGGTTGTGAATTGTGCGGGTGTCACGCAGGCGAAGCTCTTCTCGGGATTGAATGAAGAGGACCTGGAAAGTATCATTCGGACGAATCTTACTTCTATGATGCTGGGGACGAAGTTTTTGTTACGGTATGTAAAACTCAATCGCAACTCCTACTACTTGTGTTTGTGTTTCTGTTTGAGTAGCCACGTTGTTGACTTGCTGATGCGGGTGGTAGGAATGGGTATCTGAGAGGTAAAAGTCAAGCTGAAGATGAAGATCCTGTCATTATCAATGTCAGTTCGCTACTGGGATTGCAAGGCGGCTACGGAGCCGTTGCGTATGCGGCGTCGAAAGCGGGCGTTTTGGGGTTTACTCGCGCTTTGGCTACAGAGTATGCGAGTCACAAAGTGCGGGTCAATGCTATTGTACCTGGATACGTGGAAACAGACATGACAAAAGGTACGCATGCCACGGTGTTGTTTGTTAAGGCGTGCTCTAACCACGGCCAGACCTGAATGCCACTGAGCTTCAGCAACGCATCCCGTTGAATCGTTTCGGCAGGCCCTCCGAAATCGCTCACGCAGCATTGTTCCTCGCAGAAAACCGATATGCACATAATTGTGTGTTGAACTTGGATGGCGGCTTATCTGCCGTCTGATTCCATTAACTTTACTACGCTGGTTGGTATTTTTCCCATTCAACTGCCATTCCGGCCTTGCAAGACGGCCCAGTGGCGTTCTCCAGATGTGATTCCTTCCACCAGATGATCCAGACCGAGGTATATACCCAGTGAGTCCTCCCAAAAGACGCCCATGCCAAACGTTTCCATGCGACTGATTGGTGTATAGTACAAGAGAAAAAGAAAATCTATATGCCGTTTGTGCTTCGGTAGTGGGCGGTTTGTTGGACTGATGTTCGTGGTGGGAAGAGTAGAATGGCTGTCAAAGACGAATGAGCGCTGATGATCCAATGGCAGGGCAAGAAGAATGAAGCATATCAGATACTCCAATCATCATCTGCAGATGGCCAAAACAATCATGAGGTTCAAGGTGAGGACGATGCGCCAAGATGCGGCCAGCAACAATTTTCTTGTTGTGGGCTTATTCAGTCGTCATCAATGACAATTGCTCCGTCCTTGTCGTCCTCAATGGTTATGTGGCTGTCGTCTTTCTTTTGCGACTCCTCCATGACCTTGCCCTTCTTTCGGACGAGGTCGTCCTCTAGACCTGCTTGACTGGCTGTGCGCTTCGCAGCGCCATTCGTACTTCCATTTGTGACACCATTGGTAGCGGTGCCGTTGACAGTCGCATGACCGTTAGTCTCCGGCGCAGGTGCCTTGGGTTTGGTCGGAATCTTGATCTCATCGGGTAACCTGATCGGATTCGCGTTCTCGGTAAACTCTGTGTGTATGATGCAGAGCACTAGATCGACTTTTGCGTCTTCTTCTGAGTCGTCAGAAACCGTGAGGAAGGTGTCGTTCTTCAAGTTGAGTTCCTCAAATGTCTTGTCGAGATGAATGTCTTCGTCCATGTCATAGAGTATATCTGAATCGCGCTTGACGCTGAACTCTTCTCCGTAGCCGAGCTTCTCCTTCAGGACCATGTTGATCAGATCGCTTAGCTTCGCGCGCGGTGTATCGACGTGCAGGGTGGCATAGCATACACCACACGTCGCACAGTGAGGATTCGGTGGTCGGAGTGATTCGCTTGAAATGACGCGCTCGGTGCTGCGGGTGAGGAAGACCATCTTGGCTTTGTCGAGCTGATCGCGCATGACCTTGAAGGCTTGTAAGACGCAGAGACTGGCCGTCATGGCGTTTGTTGTCGCGATGGCGGGGATGATGTTGCCAGCCATTTCTGTGACGTGTTAGCAGCTATTCCAGCATTGTGTGAGCGCTTTCTTACGCTTGATGTCAAACTTGGAACGCATCTCGATGCCGAAGATGTGTGAGCGCAGATTGGCACTCGCAACCACAAAGTCCAGCGTGTCCACATCGTCCTTGTCGAAGCTGAGGATAGGTGCCGCATTGCCAACGTCGGCATTTGCGCGCGTCTCTTCCAGCCGGGTGCTGAGTCGCTTGATACTGTCCACGAAGACGGCGAAATTCTCGGCTACATTCCATGTGACTTGGTCTTGCTGCGCGATTCCCGTGCCCACACCCAGCGACTCCTGCATGAGCGCGTCGTAGTCCAGCGCCTCTGGCGCCCGTTTGGTCTTCCACATATCTTCCATGCTCCGTAACCGCTCAATGTCCTCTTTGAACACTTTGTCAAATACGAGTCGCGGGAAATCCTGGGAACCCATGGAATCGCGAATGCGCTTCAGCGCTTGTGCCTCCTTCTGCAGGTTCGCGACTTCGCTTGCGTTGTCGGCATCTTCGCTGTGATCTAGTTCGGGCGCTTCGTCTTCCGAGGTGCCAAAGATTTCGGCGAACAGATATGACTTGCCCCATACTATGCAGTGGATGGGTTGCGAGGGTGTGCTTCGGATGGTGCATACGGGGAAGGACTTGGGCGCGGCTTTTGGCGTGCAGTCGTAGCATTCGGTTTCGCCCTATAATACAATTAGCACAATCGTTCAGTAACGTAGTCGCATTGAGGTCGCGCACCCTCTTGATAACCTGGACCTGGCCATTGAAGCCAGTCGTGCCACTCTCGATCAACGGCACATTGGCGGCAAGGCACATCCTGTTGACATGTCGCCGCGCATCGAGATTGTCCAGCGCATTGAAGACGAGGCCGAAGCTCTGGAACCACGCGACGTTGAACTGGCCATCCTTGATGTTGTCGTGGTACGCAACGATGCTGACGTCGGGATTGAACTTGCCGGCCGACTCTTTCGCAACCTATGAGCTGTCAGCGCAAGGCCTTTGACCTGCTTGTAACTGATATCGTGCCGTACCAGTGCTTTGGACTTCTTGATATGCTCATTGCGGAACAGGAACTGGCGGTTGAGGTTGCTGAGATCGATGGTATCGAGATCGACGATGTGTATCTCGCCGAAGCCGGTGAGGACGAGGTTCTTGAGGAGTTCGCAGCCAATGCCGCCAGCTCCTACCATCAAGACGCGTGACTAGAGCGCATTAGCGACTGCCTGATACCATGTTTGCGCGTGGTTGCAGCTACCTCTTTGATGCGCTGATGGAGCGTGCCACCGAGGCTCTGTCGAGCAAACTTGTCGCGTGCCATTGCGGGTTCGGGGGTGGGAGTAGGCGCGAGCGAGGTTGTGGTGCGGGCGAGGCTACGACATGCGAAAGTTGGCGAGGTGCCCGTCTCAGGTGAAGGCGACAGGTGAGAGACGTCAGTGCAGCTGGTAGCGCCGCTCCACTGGGCCTGCGCCGCTCGCGTTCAGCCTCCGAAGCTTGGCACCTAAACGAGCGCCCTATGAGTGGATCGTGGGCCTCTGGACTGCCGGGACACACTCTGGCTGCTGCTCGCTACGACAAAAAACTTGCTTGGGAGCCTGGTGGAGCTTACTAACGACATATACGAGCCGCCGCAGAAGTCTCATTCATCACGACTACCGGAACCGGAGCTAGCGCACACCGTCATCCATCATCATGTCGGACGACGAAGTCGACCATGAGCTGCTAGACCTCATGCGGAAGCACTGGGGTGGTGGTGCCAAAGAGGAAGGTCCGCCAGAAACAAAAGTTCTGGAAAATGCCCAGTTCATCTGCGATAACAGCATGGACGTTGCCCTCGACATGCGCTCTACCAAGGTCGCTGCCCAACTTGTGCTTGACGAGATGGAGAGGCGGGAGTACTCCACCAAAACATGGTCAGAGCATGAGCTGCACCCCAAAGCAAAAGACGAGAGCACTGTCAATTTCATCTTCACGATGGATCTGCTCAACTTCAGCTTCTGGAGCGAGAAGAGCGACGAGGAGCGCTTCGCAGTAGTCTACAAGGGAAAAAGATGGACTGGCTACTGGAGTCTGGTTGCAATTCTGCAAAGAGCGTTGGAGCAAGACATACCCATCACTAGTCCGGAATTCTGGGTCGACGAAGAATTGTGTTCGAATGAAGTACTGCGAACTGTATTCTCTTCTGGCACCGACGAGGAGATCCCCATGTTCGAGCAAAGGATGCGATGTCTAAGAGAAGCAGGCCAAATCCTAGAGGAGGTGTGTTTGTGATGCATCACCAACACAGAAGAGGAAGTTGACTTATGACTGACGTTGCAGGAATTTGACGGTAGTGTCGTCACACTTATTGAAGACGCGAACAACTCCGCTGCCGGCCTTGTGAATCTACTCGCCGAAAAGTTCAACTGTTTCAGAGATGAAGGCAGATTCGAGAACAAGAATGTGCGCTTCTTGAAGCGAGCCCAAATCTTCGTTGCAGATCTGTGGGCTGCGTTCGGTGGCGAGGGATATGGCGAGTTCAACGACATTGACAAGATCACAATGTTTGCAGGTAAGACATCTCTGCCTCTGGCACAATTTATATTCCAGCTGACTGATGCATCTGCAGATTACCGCATTCCTCAAATGCTACACTCACTAGGTATTATCTGGTACTGCCCGCCTCTCGAGAACAAGGTACGCCGCCTTGAGACCATCGAGTCTGGCCACTCCTGGGAGATGCAGATCCGAGGTTGTAGTATCTGGGCTGTAGAGCTTCTCCGCAAAGAGATTCTGAAGCTGAAGCCGGACGCCAAGGTCAACGCTATTCTCATTGACTTCTTCCTGTATGATCTTGCGAAGGAGAAGGAGAAGGAGGAGGCAGACGTCATACCACACCATCGGACGAGAAGCATATGGTATTGAGAGCCAAGAACAGCGGTGCACATGAAACCGAATCACACATTTGGGCGCCCTATCGCTTTCTGATCGGTGGGAATTAGTAGTTGGTCACTTCGTGGAGAGGTCAAAGGCGGTGGGGTCGCTTCGAGCATTCGCCACTTCCAAGTTTGCGCAACTTCCAGAGACAACGCACATCTCAGTCGTCGCATAACGGCACAAGACCAACCGCTGGATTCGCTCTCATGTCTTGTCCGCGCGACAGGCTGAGGCTGGGGCATGCAACGTTTTCTTGGCACCGTTACGCCTTCCCAGTTATCGTTAGACGCCTATGGTAAGGCTGGCCATTCAACCCCCGCAACGGCCTTACCTAACCCTGGTCTCCAGTATTCGTAGATAAATTACGATCATACTGGTGATCATTATAGCACGGATGAAGCCGCCGGTCACACATTTTCAGTAAAGCAGGGGTTTGACAACCGGGCCTATTTGCCAATTTCGGTGATTCGGGCGGGTGTTTGCACGATAGCAGCGCAACGATGAGCACGTGTGATCCACACTCTATGTCAGCAGTTCTCTTGAAATATCTAGGCACTTGGCCATCTGTCTAAGAAATTTCATTTTCGACCGACTCTCGCTTCATTCATTATTTTCATTTCGTAAGGTTCCGTTAGCGGCCTAGCTAAGGAGCAGGTGAGAGTGGTGGCTTAACTCATTCACATTTATGTACAAGTGCTCACCTGGCAAACACTCGCTTTGTTAACATTCGAACCGGAGTCCAGTTCTGCCAGCAGCAGCTCCTCTGACCAGAGCGCCTCCCACTGAACGATGGGAAACCAACAAAGTTCGGCCGTCCAGCAGTGTCTGGAGCAAGCTATCGGAAAGGATCATGTCGCCTTCAAGAACACACCACTCTACCAGATCTCACACGTCAAGCCCTACAACCTCGGTGTTCCGGTGACACCAGCGGCGGTTACCTACCCCAAGACGGCCGACGAGGTCTCCGCGATTGTAAAATGCGCAGTCGACAATAGCCTCAAAGTTCAGCCACGATGTGGTGGACATTCATACGCCAACTACGGTATCGGAGGTCAAGACAACACCATTGTAGTCGACATGAATAACTTCCAGCAATTCTCCATGGACAAGTCTACCTGGCAGGCCACAATCGGTGGCGGTACGCTCCTTCGCGACGTCACTGAGCGACTACACGACAACGGTAAACGCGCCATAGCCCATGGAACTTGTCCACAAGTCGGAATCGGAGGTCATGCAACGATAGGTGGCCTGGGACCGACTTCACGCATGTGGGGCTCCACTCTCGATCACGTAGAAGAGGTGGAAGTAGTCTTGGCGAATTCGACAGTAGTGCGTGCTTCCGAGAAGCAAAACCAAGATATCTTTTTCGCGACAAAAGGCGCTGCAGCCGGTTTCGGCATAGTCACAGAGTTCAAGATGCGCACGCAGGCCGAGCCCGGCGAAGCAGTCCTCTACTCTTACAACTTCCACGGCGGCTCGTCTGCATCAAAGGCTGAAGCGTTCAAGCAGTGGCAGAAGCTCATATCGGACCCGGCCCTTTCCAGGAAGTTCGCGAGCCAGTACATCCTCACCGAACAGCTCGGCGCCATCATCACAGGCACCTTCTTCGGCAGCCAAGCCGAATTCGACAGTCTGAACATCACATCTCGTCTCCCAACCGGTTCGGCTCTGGAATCGATAGAACTAAAAGACTGGCTGGGTGTAGTAGGCCACTGGAGCGAAGACATCGCTTTAGAGATTGTTGGCGGAATACCATCCAACTTCTACGCGAAATCCCTTTCGTACACCGAAAAAGATATCATACCCGACGAGACCATCGACAAGTTGTTCAAGTACATCGACGAAGCAGACAAAGGCGGTGCACTGTGGTTCATCATCTGGGACCTTGAGGGCGGCGCTATCAACGACGTTGCGCCTGATGCTACAGCCTACGGTCATCGTGACGCGTTGTTCTACCACCAGGCTTATGCTGTTAATCTCTTTGGCAAGGTCAGTCCCCATCTCATCTCAAACAGTCTAGCAAGCGTACTTACATCACCACAGGTCAGCGACAAGACTCGCAATTTCCTCAACGGCTTGAACAATGTCGTTCTCGATGCGCTGCCCAACCACAACCAGGGAGCGTATGCAGGATATGTGGATCCTGCACTGGGTGAGAACAGCGCGAGTCTGTATTGGGGTGGTAATGTTGAGAGGTTGGAGCGGATTAAGGCGGAGGTTGATCCGTTGGATGTGTTTCACAATCCGCAGAGTGTACGGCCGGCGAAGAGATAGGTGGAGAAGAGGGTGCTGATTTAGATAGAGGGGTGTGGCTTGGTGATATGAATTTGCCTGGCCAGGAGGCTCGGCAACGGAATAATTCTTCTTCTCATAACAATTCTTTCCAAATTCTGTGCGACGACGTCGCGATTAGTATGGTAATCGTGTGCGATGACATGGATAATTCCCGACTTGACAGCTGTCTTTGGTCGAACTTGTCTGCGCTAATGCTTGATATTGTACAGATACATGACTGTAGGACTGGGCCATACCACATGTGTAACCCAACATAGCGCAGTTGTGACCGGTTGTCTCATGCGCAACGAAGGACATGAACTAACCTTCAATACATATTATGGGCTACGTCGTCAATCTGTTCTCCCCTTGTCGCCCCAACTCCAAAATATCTCCTATGATATATCTACTGCATTCGCTAGCCAATTACCTTCAACTCAAGATATCGGCAGCCGCTCTCGTTGCAGAAGTGGTGACTACTCAACAGTCAGCAATGCCCAAAGGACACACCCGCTTCACGATGCGTGTTGGCGACGGGGTACCTAAGAAGCCTGTCGTACCCCATCGATGTTACCGCCGTGAAAGACTCGATCGAGAAAAGGAATTGAAGAGTAGGATCCGCTGTAACAGTCATTCTGAAGCATTGCGCGCTGTGGCGGAATTTCGGGCATTGAGCGTGTCTGTAGCCATCGTCGTTACAACTGCGCTCTTCTGGATTTTTCGGGATAGGTAGATTGGCAGAGCAGACGTTGAGTTGTGTTGAGTTGGGTCTGACAATCCTTTCGCTGTCGTGATTGCTGGCTGTGCGCGAATGAGACGGAGGCTGGCTCCTACATGGCTTCAGCGAGGATTCTCCGAGAACTTAATAACGTTGATCAACAAAAGGCGCGTCTCTACTGCATCTGACAAGAGTTATTCGCATAACAGTTCGGATAGTCCTGATTTGGTGAACGGTGGCGTCGGTGCATCGGGACGCTGAAAGTAGCCACCTCTACATCGACTATGCGACTGCCTACAATTTTACAATTCACGTGTTTTATTTGTCGGGGTTTCGTTTGCGATCGATGCTTCCTGCTGCAATTACCAGAGTTGTTGATGGAAATTTTGTGCTGCCTAAGGAATATGTGACTTGTCGAGGTGGCAAGGCTTGTCTGTGCGGTCATGCACTAAAGATTTTCGTCCCCAGCGCCGATGGACCCTTGCTTAATTTCCACTACTCCTTCCATGGATATCATCAGAATCAAGTGCCAAGCTCACCTACATTGAGCGTATCTCTCCCCAGACTCCCAATTCCAGGCAATTGGTCATGGGCCGTTCGTTTATATGTTGACGTTGCGCTGGTACGCACCGTGTGGCGCGTGTCCTGTGGTCCAATCAGGATGTCGCGTACCAAACAGAGCACTTTGCTGACATACTCCAGTCGTTCCGTAGTATAGGCTGCGTGCTTCTGTCATGATGCCGCGGAAACCTTTTCTGCGATTGAGGCGTTTTCGTCATCATCTAACTTCAAAGCTCTTTGGCCGCTCCGACACATTCACAAACCATTTGAGGGTTTTCTTAGGCTACGATCGTCGACCAGAAAACATGTGGAAAATTGCAAGGTTGTTATATGGGACGCGCAGCCCGCTAGCTGAACATTTCGGTCGAAAAGCTCGTATACCCGACCTTTTTGATCGGAGAGATCAAGTTTACCTGGCGCTTGAGGCCCAGCGGTTGCATTGGCATATGCCCCCACCGTACGCCTATCATGATCTGCTTGACGCTGCAGCGAGAGTGGGCCGTATTGAAGGGATCATGGGCTACAAGTTCAAAGACAAGATGATTTGCATCGAAGCGCTCAAGACCACTTCGGCGACTACACCGCTTTATTTCAATGGGGTCGTTCATCACATAGACAAAAACAACCGCCTGGCATTGCTCGGTGATCGAGTTATCTCTTTAGCTCTATGCGATGTTTGGTTCAAGACAGGAAATACCACTGGTATGTACTGCAAATAGCTCTGTTGCTTAAGCTAATACTGCAAATAGCGGAATACACTTTGATGCAGCCGGATGTAGAAAGCAGAGTTGGTTTGGGTAAGAAAGGATACGCACTCGGTATAAACGACAATCTGCTTCTTCACGATCGGCAACCCTCCACATTTAATCATGTTGCCGAGGCCTTCGAAGCTGTTCTTGGTGCTATCTACTTGGACTCTGGAAACAACATCGAAACCGTTAAGGAAGTTGTCACCGGAATCAAGCTCGATAGTCACAAGGGATTAGAAGAGCAGATTACGGCCCAGGATCGTCTGGACAGTAAAAGGCTTGCGGCGCTACAGTACTCTGATTATATGACGAACCAAGCTGCCTACACTAGAAAAGCCCAGCTGGAGGCCAATCAGGCAGCACTGGCAGCGAAAGAAGCAGCAAAACTGGCGGAAAAACAGGTGGCAGATCAGCCTAGAAAGGAGGCGCAAGAAGACAATATGTCCACCAAAAGTCAAATACACGATGGACACTCGGGAACAGTTCAGCCTCGAAGTAAGAAGAAAAGCAGCGTTGCGCTCACACATGCGGAGGCCTCGAAAAATCTAGCCGATTCCGTGATCGAATATCGCACGAATGGTCACCCAAGTGACGCAAAGGATCTGGGCCGACTTGCTAGACAAGACGCGCAACGCCAAAGTCCAGCCTCGAAGGGAAAAGCACCATCGCAGAATTCCAATCAGGGA